TTGCAGGGGGAATACTGAAGGACGGGCTTATGATAAGGAGGGTTTGGGGCTGGGTGTTTTTGCCCTGTGGGGAGAGAGGTCTGTGAAGAGATCGATGCTGGCAATACACCATAGGCCTGTCGGAAGGAAGCACACCGGCAGGCAGACTCTGCTGAGACAGGAAGGCCCCTTCCACTGCCTCCGGGAAGGACCATGAGTATGTCCCTCCCAGGTGTCCATGCTGCACCTGCCCCCCCCCGCCGTTGCCCCCCACAGCCAATCAGCAGGGTTAGGGCAAGAGACTCCTGAGCGCCCTGGGTCCCCCAGGGAGATGGGAGCAGCGGTTGATTTTCTGGATCCTGCTTCCTTATGGGGAACGGTGTGTCCCTTTTCCTTTTTTGGAACAGGGAGGGCCAGAAACGGTTGCCTGTTTTGTTGTTTCCCACTGTGTTCTTTTTACTGTAGTAAAACTTAAGTTAGGGACGCCTGGCTGGCTCAGTCAGTGGAGCGTGCATCTCTTCATCTCGGGGTTGTGAGTTTGAGCTCCACGTTGGGTGTAGAGATTACTTAAAAATAAAATTAAAAAAAATACATAAGTTAAAATTTGCCATTTTAACCATTTCAGTGTTACAGGTGTACATTCAATTCAGGGGTATTAAGTACATTCATGGTGTTGTGTAACCATTGTCACTATTTCCAGAACTTTCTTTTTCTCATCATCTCCAAATCAAACACTGTACCCATTCCCCCCGCCAGCCCCCAGCAGCTTCTATTCTACTTTCTTTCTCTATGGATTTGCCTACTCTACAAATTTCATGTGAGTGGAATCCTATAGTATCTATCCTTTTGTGCCTTTGTTTACGTACCATAATGTCTTCCGTGGTTCATCCATGTGGTAGCATGAATCATTGTTTCATTCATGTTAGTGACGAAGTATGATTCATTGTAGGGACACACCACATCCATTCATCTGTTGATAGATGGGCTGTTTGTACCCTTTGGTTGTTGTGAATAATGCCGCTGTGAACATTGGTTCAAGTCCCTGCTTCCAGTTCTTTTGAGTATGCACCCGGGAGTGGCATTGCTGGTCATATGATAGTTCTATATTTAACTTTTTGAGAAACCACCAGACTGTTTCCCACGGCAGCTGCACCACTTCGCATTGCTGTCAGCAGCGCACAAGGGTTCCGGTTTTCCCACATCCTCATCAACATTTGTTATTTAACATTTACCAACTTTTTTTGGAAAATTGCCGCCCTAAAGGGTGAAATGTGGTATCTTGGGTGGTTTCAATTTGCATTTCCATAATGACTAAGGATGTTGGGCATCTTTCCATATGCTTATTGGTCATTTGTAGATCTTTGGAGAAATGTCCTTTGCCCATTTTCTAATTGGGTTGCTTTTTGTTGTTGCAAAGTAGGAATTCTTTATATATTCAAGACCCCCCCTTTTTTTTGAGAGAGAGCGAGGCATGAGCAGGGGGAGGGGCAGCGGGAGAGAGAGAATTCCAAGCAGCCTCCCCGCTGAGCACAGAGCCCTACATGGGGCTCGATCCCACGACCCCGAGATCATGACCTGAGTCGAAACCAAGAGTCCGATGCTTAAGTGACTGAGCCATCCGGGCACCCCTATATATTCAAGATATTAAACCCTCATCAGATGTATGATTTGCAAATATTTTCTCCCATTCTGTGGGTTGTCCTGAGGTCCTTTGGTTCTTTCGATAATGTCCTTTGATGCTTTTAATTTTAATGAAATTCAATTTATGTTTCTTTTATTGCAGTCATGAAGATTTACTCCTGTGTTTTCTTCTAAGAGTTTTATAGTTTTAGCTCTGAAAGTCAAGGCTTTGATCCATTTTGAGTTAAATTTGGATGTGGTGTGTAAGAGTCCTACTTTATTCTTCTGCATGTGGAAATCTCTTTGTCCCAAAGCCATTTATTAGAGAGACTGTTCTTTCCCATAGAGTGGTCCTGGCACTCTTGTTAAAAAAATCATTTGATCATAGACGTGAGGGTTTATTTCTGGCCTCTCAGTTTTGTTCTGCTGGCTTGTATGTTTACCTTGTGCTAGTACCACACTGTTTTATTTACTGTAGCTTTGTAGTAAGTTTTGAAATCAGGAAGTATGAGCCCTCCAGTTCTCTTCTTTCTCCAGATTGTTTGGCTATTCGGATTCCAGGTGACCTTTTGGAGGATTTTTCTATTCCTACAAAGAAATGCCATTGGGATTTTGATAGGGGTTGCATTGTATCTGTAGAGGACTTTCACATTGACATCTTAGCAATATCACATCTTCCAGTCCATGAACATGGGATGTCTTGCCATTAATTTGTGTCTCCCTTTATTTCTTTCGTGCTCTCATGATACTAAATGTATCATCTGTGAAAGCCTTATAAAGGCCTAGCTTCTTCAGCCAAACCCTGAAGTCCGTGAGCAGCTTCTCCCTGCACTACCGCCACTGCCCTGAGGTCAACAGCCATGAAAGATAGGAGACCCAGGATCCTGCGCCGAAGCTTTGCCTCCAACCCTTGATGTGGTCAAGAAACCATGTTTGAAACTGTGCTCGGCAAGCCACTTAAAAAGTTTCCCTTACGGCTTGTTTTGAACACATACAAAACAGAGAGGATCTGAGAGTTGCCACTTGGCTTCTGTGCTCTGGCCTCCTGGCCAGGGGTTGAGTTTCCTTTATCCTCCTGATGATCCCCCCTCCCCGCAGAATGGTTTAAAAGTCCCAGCATTGCCCTTTCTGTTTGCATGTCTGTTGGGTAACCAGGACTCAGAGCCAAAGCAGAGCCATCTCCCGGGTGTGGCCCCTCCCTGCGCCCTCCTATCAGCCCTGAGGTACACAGTGCTGTGCAAACAGACAGATCTAGAGATTAGAGATTTACAAGCCAGATTTTTAACACAAGCCAAGTATCATGGAGATTGAAATTTATAGTTTATGACCCCAGAGTCCAGCAAGTAATTGGTTACCTAAGTAGAATGTTACCTATTTTTGATATTTATTTCCAACATTTACTGGATGTTTTTTTAAATGCAGAGAATAAAACAGAGTGGCCCATTGTATCATCACCCAAACACTACTACGAGTAATAATAGTAATGACAAAGCGACACAGGTGTGTGGTTAAGAAACCCTAAGCAGTAGAAAGTTCCAGTTCCTTCAGGCTGCAGGGGCCTCCCCTCACTGTTTCTTGTCAGCTGTCCCCCAGAAGAGAGATACTCCGCCCTTATCCACTGTACCCTCCCCCTGTGTGACCCCCTCACCGGCCTCCTGGGTCATGGTGCACGCTGCCCCTCGGGGGCCCTTGCCCAGTGTGGGCCCCAGAGCTGTGGCAGACAGGACACCTGATGTATACTCTTTCTGACATGGTGGGGCCCAGGGCGCACCCCAGGCGGGGGCACCATGCTCTGGTGCTGAGACTTGCCACACCTGCTCAGGACTTCAAGCCTTCTGCTGTCATCTGTGTCGCTGGTGTCCCAGGCTGAAATCTCACTACCTCTTTGAGGCCTTCAGCTCTCTGAGGACGGAAGGGTGAAGTGCTGCCCTAGTGGGCAAGGCTGGCCTTGAGGAAGTGGCCCAGATATCTGGACCCTGGTCATTTTCAGGTTATGGTTTCTGTCGGTGAGATCTAAAGGCAAAAGAATCCTGCACAAAATTTCTCTGCTTTGCTGCTAAGCTCAGAGAAGGAGTGCACAGACCTGTCCTTGAGCACGGAGGGCAGGAGCCGGCTGGGAGAGTGGTTCACAAGGTCCGGGTGGGCCTGGGAACAGGAGAGCAAGGGTGGGCAGAGGATTGGGGCCCATTGTGTGTGCACACTCTGACCCATTGATAAAGCGTTCACTGTAAGTAGGCCACATGGCCTAAAACACCAGAATCTGGGTATCCACACTCCCTTGGGGCAGAGCCTCAGTTTTCCCTTCCTCTGCCCTGTTCCCCAAACCACCACTGTCTCCTCATGGCCCAGCACGGTGGGGTGTAGAGCCCTCAACGGTCCTCAAGCGCTCTTGCCACCGAGGCCCTCAGCCTGCCTGCTCTCCCGGATGTGCCTTTCCAAATCGGAGCCTCTGGGAGAGCAAGGGCCTGTGTGGTTGCTGGGGTTCTGTGGCCCTTCCTTGTGAGGCACCTCGGAGCGACCCATCGGCCCCGGCAGAAGCTTCCCATGTTCCTCTTTATTTTTGTCCTTTCTCATTTTATAAGGTGTCTTGCCTGAACTCTGAGCATCTGCCCAGAATACCGCAGACTCTGCTCTGTGCTGGCCAGGTGCCCAGGGCTGAGGGGCTCAACCTTGCCTGTGTCTCCAGGGGCCCCGTCTGACTGGATCCCGAGCTACCTGAAGGGAGGTTGCCAGGGGGATGTGGTGCTGTCCCCGTAGTTGTCTCCTACCGCTGGGGGGGTCTCCCTCACCTGTGGTGCAGGCGGCAAGGCGGGCCTTCGCCCAGGGCAGGTGCACCACGGGTGGCTGTCCCTGAGGGGAGTGGTGAGCGGGTCTCTGCCCTGTGTGCCTGGCCTGGGCACCGCCTGTGTTCTTACCTGGAAACTCATTTAAAGGGCCACACGAGTGTCCCAGACTATTCCTGGTGTGAGGACCCAAGAAAGCTGTACACGGACGGGCCTCCCCTGTGCCCACCTCCGTCGGGGCTGTCCGGGAGGGTCCCCAGGCAGGAGGGCCAGACACAGCACCTGCTCTGTGCGCCTGAGGGACAGGAGGTCCCCAGGGGCAGGAAGCTGTTTGGGGGCAGGAGGTCTGCATTCCCTTGGCACTGAGATGGGCCGGGCAACTGGGACACATGGCTAGCCTCTCGAAGGCTCCCATCAGCAATGGGGGGCAAAAGCAGCACCCCCAAACAGAGGAGAGGGTGCGTAAGCCAGGAGGGGCAGGTCTGCACTAATGCTGAGGGGCTTTGAGCCTGCAAGCCGGCTACGGGGCTTCCTGGCCAGCCGCGAAGCCCCGAAGCCCATCACCCTCCCGCTTCTCTCCCTTCCTCCTTACCCCATTGGATCCCCGCCCTGTCTCAGATGCTGGAGGCCCCACCACTGCTGTTGGCAGCCTTCTCACTGGGCCTGGCGCTCCTGGTGCTGGTGCTGTGCCTGCGACGCTGGGGCTTGGCCATACCCCTTATCTACTGGCACGAGCTGGTCCTGCAGCCCCTCCACAACCTGTTCATGGGCAACACAAAGGAGCAGCGCATCCTGCACCATGTGCTGCAGCACGCAGTGGCCGGGGACCCACAAAGCGTGCTGAAGGCCATCGATAGCTACTGCTTGCAGAAGGAGTGGGCTATGAACGTGGGTGACAAGAAAGGTGGGCAGCCCGGCCAGCAGGTAGTGGGCATGGGAAAGGGGACCTCGGGTGGGGCAGCACAGCCTGTAAAGGAGAGGCCTGTTGTTACTGTTTCTGGGTGTTGGGGTGGGGGCTTGCCTGGAGCCCTGGAGGCCTGAGCTACCCACCCAGCTCCTCCCTGGCCAGGGGTAAAGGCTGTGCAGAGGCCCGAGCATCCACATCACTGTCCTCGTGGGGAGGGACGGACGTTCGATAAACTGCGCGGGACCCTTTCTTGCCACACAGTGACTCAGCTGACATTAGTCGGTAGGCCTGGCACTGGCATGCCTTCTCATGGAGCTGGGTGACACCAGCTGTCCCTGCTGGGCATGAGGGTGCACAGAGCTCCTGGGACTCTGCTCCGCCCAGGCCCCAGGGCCACCTCCTGACCTTTGGACTCCAGCCTGGGGCACGGGCCTGTGCTGCGCTACACCCCAGGGAGCTGGGCCCTGGGGACAGATGAGATAGCCAGTGTCCAGCCCCCTTAGAGCCTCTGACAGTGTCCAGCCCGGGGGGAGGGGGCAGGGAGGCCCTGAGTGCAGCCCGTGGGCACAGTGGGGTGAGGGCTTCCGCAGGGGGCAGCTCTGGGTTAGGATGAGTTGGGCTCAGTCAGGAACCATGCGAAAGAGAGGGACCAGCGTGTGCTGAGAGCCAGAGGCCTGAGGGACCCTGGAAGCTCAGAGGGCGTGTTTAGTGTGATGGGGGGGCAGTGGGGGGTGGGGGAGGCAGGCATCGGGAGGGGCCGATGCTCAGTCTGGAAGGAGCAGGTCCAGGACCAGGAGTGGGTCACTTCCCTCTGCTGTGCTCAGGCTCTCCTCCGCCCCGCAGGTCAGATCTTGGATGCAGTGGTGCAGGAGCAGTGCCCGCGGGTGCTGCTGGAGCTGGGCGCCTACTGTGGCTACTCGGCCGTGCGCATGGCCCGCCTGCTGGAGCCCGGGGCGCGCCTGCTCACCATTGAGATCAACCCGGACTACGCCGCCATCACCCAGCAGATGCTGGACTTCGCAGGCCTGCAGGACAGGGTGTGTTTCCGCCCCAGGGTGAAGAATGCGGACACGGAGGCGCCAGGGGCTGGGTGCGAGGTGGAGGGGAAGGGCCTGGATCGCCCCAGTGCAGTTCAAGGCCACATTCAGCCTGTTGTACCTGGCCTCATGGTGCCTCCCCGGCCAGGTTTCCCAGAACCCCCAGCAGCTCTGTGAGGGAGGTCTTGCCACCCTGTTCCACAGAGCAGAAAACTCCCAAGGCCGCCCTTGGAGGGAGGGGTAGAGTGGGGACTTACCTCCCCAGAACCCCAAAGGAGAGTGGTGATGACACTCGAGCCGGTGTCCAGGCAGGGCAGTCTGTGAGTATGGGCACTGACAGAGTGCTGTTCCAGGTCACCGTGGTGGTCGGGGCATCCCAGGACTTTATCCCCCAGCTGAAGAAGAAATATGACGTGGACACGCTAGACATGGTCTTCCTCGACCACTGGAAGGACCGGTACCTGCCGGACACGCTCCTCCTGGAGGTGAGTTGTGCAACCACCTGGCCCACATGGGCCTCATTGCTGGCTGCTGGTGCAGGGGCTGCCCTGGCTGGCCCTGGTGGCATCGGTGATTTGGGCAGGGAGTGTGGAGGGCCAGAGGAGGCCTCAAGGGTGGCATGGGGATGGGAGGAAGGGCGTTCTGGGCAGAAGGAGTTGGCTGGGCCTGCTAGGTGGCCTGCGCTGGGTTGACAGGGAGGGGTGAGCACCAATAGGGCATCTCCTGCCTGTTTTCCCCTGAGGCTCCTTATTGCGCAGCCCCCTCCAGCCCTCTGTCCCTGTCCTCACATCGCATCCTGTCCCAGCCCTCAGTGCGGCTGCTTGGCCAGCCACCAGTGAGGCTGCCTCGTTCCCAGGTGGGGCACTGGGCGGGCCCTTAATGAGCTGACACACAGAGCTTTGTATAGATGATCACTACCTTCCCCCACCTCGGCGGTCAAGGTCACACTTAGTGGCTACTTGGCCCTCCACCGGGGGCTGGGATGTTTTGCCCCACCATGGCCTCCCCCTTCTGGTGGTCAGGGAGTGATTCCATGTTGTCTGTCCCATGCTCACCCACCTCAGTTCCCCCATGGGCTGGCCACTCTGCCCGGTGCAGAGGGACTGTGAGTGTGGGCTGCATGGCCACTGGAGCCATGGCTGGAGGCTGGGCAGGACCTTGCACCCAGTGGTTCTAGTGCAGACATGGAGGGCCAGCTGCCTGGCCACGCAGGAAAGAACCTGCCCCGGCCGGGGGTCTTTGAGGGCACAGGATATTGTGGGGATATCCTGGGGCAGTGGGCCAGAGCCACACGTGGAGGGACCTGAACGCCACACACCGGTGGGGACATATGGGGGGTTTTAAGCGGGTGAGGACAAGGTTAGATCTGTCCCCAGAAAAGATCTCTGTTGGGTGTGTGGAGTGTGGGGAGGGATGGCTGTAGAGAGGGTGGTGCTGAGCTCTGAGGGTGGAGGGGGACGGGGGAGCCAGGAGCTAGAAGTTGGACTGGTTACCTGCTGAGACAGGTGCTCAGTCCCCCCTCAGTGGGGGGATGGCAAGGAGACCCTTGGGCGAGGAGCGAGGCAGCTGTGGGGAGCACGGCCGGCTGGGGGAGGCGGTGGCATGAACCTGGACATCAGGTGTTGAGGGCAGAGGCCAGACAGCCAACCCAGCCGGGCCTGCACAGGGAGGGAGGGATTTCAGCAGCTCTGGTGTGTGTGGTAATTGCAGGGCCTGCATTTATAGAAAAGTAGCAAATATTGCCGTTTAGTAACTAGGAAACTAATAGTTTTCTCAGTGCTCCTTGTTCAAAGCTCGTAATTATCTCAAAAGAAAAGAAGTCACGAATTGAGAATGGCTGTGCTTTTTACACACGCATTCTTTAGCCCCGCAGCTGGGCTCTGCGGGCCCTCGGCTTTTGCCAGGTCAGCCTGGCTCTGCAGTGGTCCCGCCATACCTCTCTCGGTCGGGGCCTAGAGGCTGGCAGGGGCAGGTGGCGATTTGAAATTGGATGGCTGCTCTGAGGAGGCCTCAGTGCCATGTCTCATAGGCTCTCCATGGGGCTGCTTGGGTGTCCTCACAACATGGCGGCGGCTGGCTTTCCCTACAGCCAGGGATGGGAGGCAGAAACGGAAGGGGCAACAAGGGAGCCGTGGTGCCTCTGCAAGCATACACCGCCGCTTCTGCCTCCTTCCCTTTGTTAGAAGCGAGTCACTAAGCCCGGTGCCCACCCAATGGAGAAGGAACTGTGGACACAGTTTAAAACCACCTCCAGGAAGGCTGTTTCCTCCCCGCAGGGGTTCGTGCAGCGGGTTCGTTCAGATGCGGTAGGCTTCTGGCCAGAATTCTCCGAGGGGTCTGTGTCCCGGGTCGGGAGGCGTGTGATGGCTGGGGAAAGGCAGGATAGGTGCTGCCTTTTTCTCCCTTCCGTCCAGCTTCCTCAAGGGTGGGTAGGCCCCAGCACCCTCCAAACGTGCCCAAAGCTTCTTTCTTTTGTTCCTTCTTTCCTGGTCAACTCATTTGGTTTCCAGTGTCTGATGACTTTCATGCCACTGACTGTCCCATCTGGGGCCAGCAGGGCCTCCTCAAGTCTGCTCCTGCTCACCTTGTCCGCTTCCGGCTGGAGACCTGAGCTGCCTTTCCGGGGCTTGGGCCCGGGGCGCCTCCTCCGGGACAGTTCTCCATTCTAGGGCTTTCTAGCCAAGACTGCTAGGGAGCTTTCTTTTTACATGAGGAAATGCGCCATGATTCACGGTGGTACTTAACTGTTCAAATTCTGGCTTGTGGGTTGTCTCTCGCCTCACTGACCTCACAGTTGAGTTTTCCACTCGGGCTACGGAGGACCCTTGGCTTCCCCAAGCCCACAGGCTGGAAGGGACCATGGCCACCAGGAGAAGTGAGACACTTGTAAGACTCTGTGCTAGGGCACATCCCTGGGGCGGGGCGGTGGGGGGATGCAGAGTTAAAGCCCATGTTTTTAAGTCACTTAGAGATGCTCCATTGTTTGTGGTCCTGTTGGCAATTTGAGACCTGCTTGGGGTCACTTTGATTTTGCTTTTGAGGTTTCAGATTGCTTATTTTTTTTTAACTTTTATGATCATGTGAAAAAGCAGCTCTATGCTTCCAGAGTTAAATCTAGGACAAGGCAACTGGGGTGACCAGTTGCCCTGGTCTGCCCCTCCCGCACAGGCAAGCAATTCCTCTCCAGCTCTCTTTCCATTGCTTCCTATAATCTAGGCAGCCTTGCCCCCAGCACACCACCCTGGCCATGTCTGTCTGCTCCTTCCTTCTGCAGAGCCCAGGCCCAGGCGCTGGCAGAGAAGGGGCGTCTCACATGCCAGATTTTGGGGATGTTCAGAGCAAAGCCCCGAGGGGCCCCCATCCCTGCAGGGTCACCCTGGTCAGGCCGGTGAGGACCTCCAGTGACAGCGCACAGCAGCCTGTGCACTGGGCACCAGGCATCTCACCTGCAAGAGCCTGGCACCGGGTGACCGAAGGACCCACTGGCCTTGAGTTGGCCCTATGGCCGGAATCCTGGCTCCGTTGTCTCTTCCACTTCCTCATCCAGCTAGCATCACTGAACAACTCCTGTGTGCCTGCCACACGCTGTCCTAGGGGTTGGGGACGCAGGACCTAATGGGGAGCAAAAGAGTTTCCGTCACAGAACCACATTCTCAAGGCAGGACATGTGCTCAGCTGCCAGGGAGGAGATGGAAGGCAGTGGGGAGACCCTTGTGACCCCAGGAGTCAGCCCAGGGCTGACTCATGGCCAGGCAGAGGCCAGTGTATGGAGCCACCATCTCCAAGAGCATTTATCCTCCCAGTTTGGGATGGGCTTGCCGGGCACCTGTCACCCTCACCCTTTCCTACCATCTGTCCCCCGCAGGAGTGTGGCCTGCTACGGACGGGGACAGTGTTGCTGGCCGACAACGTCATCTTCCCGGGAACACCAGATTTCCTGGCATACGTGCGCGGGAACAGCCGCTTTGAATGCACACACTTTCCCTCGTACCTGGAATACTCAAAGGCAGTGGATGGCCTGGAGAAGGCTGTCTACATGGGCCCGGGCAGCCCAACACAGCCTTGACCACCCACCCTGCTCCCGGATCCCTTGCCAAGCCTGAGGGCACAAGGGATGCGCCCCTGCCAACCCGCTTTTGCAGTTCTGGGGTCCAGTGTAGCACACTTGAGGTATGTGAGCCCAAAGCCTGCCGGCCCTGGCCCCTCTACACGGCGACTCTTGGCTGTTGTTACCCCTGGTCTTCCCCAAGTGCGGCCAGCTCACCATACAAAATCATTGCAATAAATCTGTAAAGTATGTATGTAAATACCAGCTCGGGACGGGTGGTGCCCGTGACAGTGTCTCTTGCTCCCACCAGCATTTCAGTCAATAGGGTTTCTTACACGGATGGGTCTTCAGGCATCGACATATGCAGTAGACACTGCAAGTGGGGAACCTGTGGAAGCTGTTGAGCTGGGCACTCGCAGTCTGTCCTCGAGGTTTGCTGTCACCAGGTGGCAGCAATGCCTCAGTGATGGCACCGTGCCCAACAACTCACACCCACTTGTGACTCCTGAGTTCTTTCACCTTTTTAAGAATGAAATGTACCTTCCTTACTAAAATCAGCTCACTACTAATAATCCTGTATACCAGTATCATGTTTAAAAGATGCTAAAAGAGAAATTAAAATTTTAAATATTTAAATAGATCAACTTAGTGCTTTTTAACTGCTCCCCCGCTCCTTCTTTCCTGTGATGCCGTCAGCTAGTGCTCCTCTTCCCTGGATGCTAATGCTGGCCCAGGGGGCTCATGTGGCCAGGCTGAGGTTACCTGTTGCATCCCCATGGGGATGTGGGCAGGCTGAGGTGAGCCCCCATCTGGAGGCTGTCCTGGGAAACTGGAACAGGGCAGCTGGTCAGCCTTCCTGTCCATCTCTGACCAGGCAGGCACTAGGGAACGGTGGACATGGGGCCCCTACCACAGTGCAGGGTGTGAGCTCTCTGGCACCTTGCCCCTTGGGGTCTCTGTGTGGCACTGAGTAGAAGCCAACTTCCCCAGTCCTCCTCGGCCTTGTTTACGGAAGACTGGGCTCAGGTCAGCTCTGGCGCTTCTACAGCTGCCCAGCTAGCAAGGGAAGTAGAATTGCTTTGCATCTACCTAAATCCACAGCTGCCCAAATCCCCAGTCCCAACCCTGGCTCCTGGCCCCAAGGCCCCCTAGCTACCTCAGAGGCTCTCCAGGGATCCCGCCCCTGCCCCCCGCCCCCATCCCGGCTGAGCCCACCTGTGTGTAGACTGACCTCTGGCCAGGACACCACCGTGGGACTCGGGGCCCAGCTAATCACCCCAAAACAAGCCCTCTCCTGTGTGTGTGTGTGTGTGTGTGTGTGTGTGTGTGTGCAGAAAGGGGATCGCAGTGAGCCTGGGAGGACATGTGCCCACCCCTGTGGCCTGGGAGCTGAGCCCCCTCTGGACAGAGCACATGGATACCCGGGGGCCACCTCCACCCATGCCCACCCTGGCAAGCAGGGAAGAGCAAGCAGCCGGTGGCAAAGGATCTGAGCCGCAGAAGATAGGAAGTTTCGTTGCTTTTTTTAATTTTTAAGTTTTCTTACAAAAATTTAGGTGTTTACCAATACAGTCTTATTTTGGTTTTGTTTTTAATGCTTTTTGTCAGTGTTTTTCTTCGGTTTTTAAGTCACAAACAGCAGGCACTAGGCAGCGTCCCCCACTGCTGCCGAAGGTCAGTCCCGGAGGTGTGACTCTGGGCTCCAGCAGACAGGGTCTGGTAGCCACGGCCAGGCCAGAGTCGCTCAGGGAAGGCTCCTGCTGCACTGGGGTTCCACGTAGCCGAGGGCAGGGTGGGGGCAAGCACAGCCTGACCCCCATCTTGCTGCCTCCAAAGCCTCTCTGCACACATGGGCCAGTCCGCCCCCCCCCGCCATGGGCCATGCAGGGTGGGACCCAGCGTCCAGCGGATCCCCTCTACCTTCCAGAGTCAAACTCCTTCTCTGAGCCCCCCTCCTCCCTTCCCTGCTGCAGGCTCCTCTGGGGCCCCACACACACAAGAGCACACTCTTCTATACCACCAGCCCCAAAGCAAAGCCAGGTGCCCTTCCTGCCGCTTCCCTGGGCCCCACTCTGGCAGCTCCACTGGCTTTCTCTCTCTCTCTCTCTCTCTCTCTCTCTCTCTCACTCGCACACAGCACCATGTCAGTAAACAGCTAACTCAGCCTAGGGAGTTAGGAGGGAGGGAGCGAGGGGTGGGAAGGGAGGTGTGTGTTCAGAAGGTCGAGCCCTGGCTCCCCGGCGAGAAGCGCTGCCAACCCCGGCCGCCAGGGGGCCCCAAGCTCCACAGCAGGGTCTGGAAGGGCCGGCCCTGGAGTTCCCTTCTTCCCATGATCAGGTCCCTAAGAACAAATGGCTGGGCCCGAGACCTACGGAGGGAGAGGGGAAGGTTAAGCAGGACGGCCCGGGGGCTGGCGGACCCCTCCACAGACTAGGCCAACAAAAGTGTGGACCAAGGCAGCTGCTGGAGGTGGCAGGGGCTGACCCCGAGAATCTCAGCATCAGGGCCAGTCCGACTCGCTGGTCGTTGGGGGGGGCACTGTGCTTGGGGCATTTAAATGTCTCTGCTCTGGCCCCATTTGCTCTGGGCCCCGATGACACAGTGCCTGAGCCGGGACTGCTGGCCCAGGGGGACATGTCCATCTCAGACCCCAGCCTATCCCTAAGATGGGCATTTAAGCCTGCTGAGCTAGAAGCTGGAGTCCCACCAGGGAGCACCAAGGGACAGAACATGCAGCCAGCAGAGATTAACGAGAAGCCCCTTCCCAAAGGACAGGAAACAGCTGAATGAGAAACCAGACCAGAGAACGTACCAGGCATGCAAGCTAGACCCAGGAGTCAACGGGCTGAGGCTTAGCGTCCCCCACGGCGTCCACCAGCCTGACTGCAGGCCTGCTGGGCCCAGGAGGAACCTTCCTGCCGGGGTCGGGCTGCAGCGGATGGGCAGTGGGCAGGAGGGCGTCAGAGGCAGAACAGAGCAGGTTAGTCAGCGCTGGTGGGTGGGGGCTGGGCTGCTCAGTGGGTGAGGCCAGAGCCCAGGTGCACACGATGGGGGAGCTGAGCTAGTGTGGCTCACAAAGATGCACACGGATGCGTGGACACACACAGGCCTGTGCCCAAAGCCACGGGACGGTCACAGAGCAGGTTGGCAGGTGCCACCCAGGAGGCAGGACAACGGTGGGCCCATCCCCCACCCCCCCAAACACACACACACACACACACACACACGCAGGCAGAGAAGGGTGAAGACACTCGTGCTCAGACTCCCCTGGCCCTTGTGCATTGTTTTGGGCAGTGCCCTCTGTCCCATGCCCCCTCCCTCCCAGTGGGTGTGAGCTTCAAACCACCTGCACCCACAGACTGACTCCGACGATAAACTTCCCGAGGCAGGGGGGCCAGGCCCCAGGCTCCATCTCCCAGCCCAGCTGTCCTGGAGGTGAGCCCCACCCCAGGTGGACTGGGCAGCCTAAACTCAGCACCTTGCCAGGGCCCCTCTCAGGCATGCCCTAGGCACCTCCCTAGGCACCTGCCCACAGCCACTTACTTTCAACGGTTCCTTCTCAGAGGCCTCCCCTGCAGGGTCACTACCTCGAGCCCTCCTCTCCCTCCGGTCCACAGTGGAGTATCCGTCTTAGGGTGGGGACATGAGGGGAACTCTGAGGGGCAGGCATCGCAGGAGCAGATCTCCCTCTCAGCCCAGACACAGGGGGCCCCTGGGACAGGGTGCACGGGGAGATACCCCCACCTGCCCTGCCCCAGCACTGCGCTGGAGGCCTAGGCCAGGTCTTCTCGTGGCCCCTCCCACCCTGGTCGCTCAGAACCCTCCAGCCCTCTTAGGCTGGCAGACCAGAGACCTTGGCTGGGCACTGACCCCTCCCTGGCTGCCCACCCCCCTCAGCAGCACTGCTAAACCAAATTCTCTTTTCCAACCAGCACCTCCTTGGAAGGCTTTCCCAGCACCAAACACACAAGGCAAAACCACCTGGTCCATTTCAACGCCATCCCCGCCCCCCACCCCCCCCCCAGGAAACAAGCAGCCCTGTATCTGCACTCACCTGGGCCAAGTGCCTCCATGGGGATCACGTCTCGGCTGCCTGGTTTCTCGCCATCTGCAAGGTACAAGCCAGGTGGCTGGCTGGTTGCAAGAACCAGTGGGGATACCAGGACAGACAAACCCACAGCAGGGCTGGCCTCCGTTGACCCTGGGTACCCTTTGTCGCTAACATCTTTGCACCATTCTGCTGGGCCTCTGCCATTGACACCCCCCCACCCTCACTTAACATCACTGTGGACACCATGGATGTAGAGATTGTAGGAGGCTGCAAGCCAGGAAAGGGGCCCCCCTACTTCTCACCTGCCTTGTCACCATCAATGCACCTAGGTGGAGGAGCATCTCTTATACCTCAGAGATAGGTTTCCATGCCCCGACCCCGTATTCACCAAGGCTCTTGTCCACCAGTGGCAGCGTGCTGTCGTCAAAGCCTCCGGGACTCGGTGCTCCTTTGGGTCCCTTAGCGGTAGCAGCAGCTGACTGGGGGGGGGGGGGGGGCACAAAACAGGGTGTGGAGTCAGGGGCAGTCCTGCGGGGGACCTAGCCTGGAGAAGTGAAAGAGGAAAAGAAAGGCCAGGCAGGCCGCACCTGGAAGCGTGCCTTGGTCCAGCCATCCTTCTGTAGGGCGCCACGCAGCTCCTTGTAGCTCCACACAGTCTGCAGCACGTGGGAGGCGGCCTTCGCTTCACGTACCGATTGGCTGCGGCCAGGCGCAGGGCGGGGTCAGCAACCGGCCCCGCCCCGCCCTCCCCCTGGGCCCCCGCCCTCCCCGGGCTGCACCCTCACCCACCTGGCAGCGCCAAGGGCCACCAGCGCTGGAACGCCTCGGGCCTGGAGTAGTGAGCGCGCATTGTCCAGGCTGTCGGACACGATCTCGTGGATGGTGTTGAGCACGGCCACCACGGTGTCCTCCTCCAGGCGGGCACCTGGTCGCGCCGGAGCCTGCGCATTGCGCACGTTCCGCACCAGCTCGGCCATGGCATAGCTCCCTGAAGGGCAGGGGCAGTTGTCAGGACATGCCTCTGCCCAGCCCAGCGGCGGGGCGCGGGATCCATCAGGAGAGCCCCGGGAAGCGGCAAAGTCACCCACCGTGTCCAGGGGCTAGGCCTTGAGACTGCTCAGGAAGATCCCAGCTCCAGCGGCTGGGACAGAATGACAGGGGCAGGGCTGGGCCCCTGAACTCCTCCCCACCCTGCCGGCCCCCAGCCCCTGCCAGTGGGACCCCAGAGCAGCCCACAGGGTTCTACATCCTGGCTCTGCCCCACCCGCGTCCTCACCAATGAGGTCCTTGTTGCGCCGGTCCAGGGAGAGGTTGCGCAGGGCGATGGCAACAGCACGCACCACCTTGTCAGTCTCGGACTGCAGCAGCTCCACGAGCACCGGAAGGCCACGCTCCTTGCGCACCGTGGCACGGATGTAGGTGGCCCACTGTGGCAGTGGAGCGGGGAGTGTGCTCAGCACACTGGGTCCCGCCCACACGCCTCGACACTCTGCTACCTGAGCCGACTGTTCCCTCTGGCTGGACCCTCCTCCCTGGCAAGCCAAAGCCCTACCCAAGCAACTCAATGCCACCTCCAGCTGGCATCCTTTGTGCCGCGAACCTCCCGGACCCTGGGGAGGCACTGTGTCCCGTGTGGTCCCCACCCCCGCAGCCTGGGCAAAGGCAGAGGCCAGCACCAACAGGGTACCTAGGATTCTGTCTGTCCCCTCCCTGCCAGATTCGGCCTCTCACCATCCAGTTGCCGGCGCTGAGGTTCTGTAGGGCACCAGCAGCAGCCTCCAGGGTGTTAAAGTTCCGGCTCTCGGTGAGGAGGGAGAGGTAGAGACGTACCACCTCGGGCTGATACAGCAGCTCAAAGCCTGGGCACAGAGCACCCACAGCCCACAGTCACCCAGGCCCCCCCCCATCACCCCCTCTCCCCGCTCCTCCCATCAATGCCCCCAGGGCAAGAGTCAGCTGGGGCCAGGGATGGGTATGGTGCAGTCAGGGAAAATTTAACATCAACACATTCACCCGTTCTGAGCCACCCAAGGGAGAAAGCATTCCCGTTTCATAGCAGAACAGAGGCTCAGTGAGGAGGCAGTGGGTCTAAGTGAGGTCGTTGTTCCCTTGACCCTGCTTCCAAAGAAATGGTATTGGACCTGCCTGGCAGCCACAGCATCCAGAAGGCCTGGAGTAGGGAGGGAGGTGGCAACCAGGGCTGCTCCCCTAGCAACAGGACTCAACGTCCCTAACAACAAGGCCAGCACTCCTGGGTAGACAGGCTGTGCAACTAGGGGGAGGAGCCCTAGCCAGAACAGGGCCCTGTTCTCTCCTATGTAACTTAGGCTGTTACCAGTGCACGCCCCTAGCAACAGGGCCTGCCTTCTCAGTCTGCACCCTGCTCAACCATTCCTGGTCCCCCATCAATTGAGGCCCTGGCCCCACAGTGCAGCAGAGCTGCTCCAAGGTACTCCAGAGAGGAGGGGCTGAGCAGCCTTTCAGTTGGCCTGTACCCAGACATTACTCCCTCTCCCCTGTCCTCCCACCCCACGTTTTATCACCCCCTCCCCATTCCTCATGCCTCACGGTCCCTTCACTCCAGCTCTGCTGGGCTTCCTGTTCCCCAGATGCTCCAAGCATGTCCCCTACTCAGGGTGTCCCCCCTGAAGGCGTCCGCATACACCGGTCTGTGTGTGATGTTTTCCCCTAGGCCTCATGGCTGGGGTCTTCCACCCTGCTTGGAGGTGTCTGGGCTTGCAGGGTGGCCCGTGGTCTGGGGCTCACCAGGGCAGAGCTCCCTTACTCAGGGTCGATTCCCTATCCAGAACGGCGCCAGCACACAGGAAGACTCCAACAGACACAGGGGACGAGAAAGACAAACCACTCTGCCCCCTGCACTATCAGCCTCCGGACTAGACCTGACTGGACACCTCAGCCCCCAGACCCCTGGGAGTGAACGTGAGCTCCTCAGAGGACATTGGAGGTCCTGCCTAGCTGGTCTCTGCCCTTCACTAAAGGCCTCACTCTGTCCCCTCTAGTCTTCCACATGCTGCATGACCTTGCAAATGCCTGGCCTCTCCGTGCCTCTGCCTCCTGCCCTGCCTGGAGTGACCCACGCAACTGGCCCTGATTCTGAACCCACAGCAGGTACCCAGGGACTGGACAGCCTTCTGGGAAGCCCCACACCTGTGGGCTGTTTCTCCATTGGCTCCCCAAGGCCCTCCACACCTTCTTGGTAGCACAAAGCTTGGCCACCTGCGTGGGCCTGGGCTGAACTCTGCCTCCGCCCACTCACCTTTGGCAGCCTCAGTTCGCTTGGGCAGGTCCAGTGTGTCAAAGTTCCGGTCCATCTCACCATCCTTCTTCCCTGGAACAGAGAATAGACGGAGGTGAAGCCGGGCCTGCACAGAGCAGGTATGCGCCAGGAGGGTGGACATAGCACTTTCCTGCCCAAGGCCCAAAGAGCACCCCCAAGTCCAGGACTGGGCACCAGGAGGCCCTGGGATGGGGCCTGGGAATGTCCCAGCCTTGCCCCCAGCAGCCAGGACTGATCTGTCAGGTGCCGGGGAGCAGCACTGCTGACCACCCAACGGCCTCCCTGCAGCTACTGGGAGCCAGGAGCCCAGGCTGCATGATGACAGGGAGGTACAGGGAAGCTGGGGGCTGCCAAGGACGAGACCTGCCCAGTTGCACAGTAAAGCAGGGATGGGGTCAAGAGTCCCAGCCACGGGGAAATGCCCGTCTGGGGTCAGGACCTGGTCCCAGGCTCTGCTGGCTAGGAAAGACCTCCACCCACAGGCTGAGCCCCTAGAGCAACCCCACCTAGCACTTGTCAGCCTCGGCCTGCACCACTCTGTGAGTGAGCTCACGAGAAGCCAGTCACCCTCATCTCAGACGAGGGAGCTTCTTCTCTGAAAGGCAGCAGAGCTGAGTTCTGATGATCTGGGCTCCCTGTTCTGCCCAGCCTCACGGGGCCTTTGTGTGGTCCCTTTAAGCCACACATCGCCTCATTCCCAGGGGCAGACTTTGCTCCCTGGTGCCTGTGGGGACAAATACACCCAGACCCTGCCCCCCACCTCCCGCCCTTGACTCTCCCTGCTCCAGCTCCAGGCCCGGCCCTGCCTGGGTAGCAGAGTCTGAGGTTACAGAGGAACAGCCCGTTGGCCTCCCAATGAGTCCAGGGCTGACATTCCTGCCGTTGTCATGTCCACACAGTTGTCATGGAGATGGCTGCCCGGGAAAGGGACTGGGGATGGGGCAGGGCCCGGAGGCTAGATCACCCTGTCGTCGTCATGGAGAGGACTGCCTGGACAATAAGGGTGGGCGGCACCTCCCCGGTGCCCACTGCCCCCACCGGGCCTGGACAGCAGGACAAATAGGGACTCACCTTGATGGAACCACTCCTCTGGGCGGCCGGAGGAAGCACAGGAGAGAGGAGATGAGCCTGAGCGGGCAGCACCCCCTCCCACGCCCTCCCAGGAGGCCTCGACTACCCACTGCAAACCCTGGGTTGAATAGATGGGTCGTGGAACTCCCCCCCCCGCCCCGATCACTGTGGAGGGCTGAGTGCCCAGAAGTGGAACAAGAGAGGGGAGGCCTAGGGTCAGAACAGGTGCACATGGGGAGTGGGGGGGGGGGGCAGATGAAGGCAGTGCACAGACGTCACCCAGCAGGTGCCAGAGAATGTAGATCCCGAAACCTGCACCTGGCAAATGCCGGGTGGGATGGCGTGAAGGCAGGGTGGGGTGCTGCCTCCGGGGCATCTCAAAGTCTCCAGGTGCTCTGTGAACGCCAGGAGGCAGCAACGTCTTCAGCGCTTTCCAAACACGGGCCCAAAGAACCCTTCCCGGAGCTGAGGCACAGTCCAGGCAGCAGCAGGGACACCATGTAGGTTCGCTCCTGCCCTCCCCCGGGGGCCCCAGAGTGCAGATGAGGGAAGGCTGCCCCGTCAGCCGGATGACCCAGCAGGCTGGGTACACCCTCCTTGGCTCCCTGCTTCGCCACCTGCCCATCAGGAGCTGACCAGGTGGTCTCTGGCTTCCGTGACGGCCGTGGGTATGGAGACCGTTCAGCCTGGGGTGGCAGGGGGAGTCCTAGAGTGTAGTACCCCAGTCCCTCCCACACACCTTTGGCCTTCTTGCCACCGAAGCAGCCAGCGTCATCCCTCCTCCGGCGCTGGGAGCCCGCAGCAACGCCCAGGGGCCCCGGCTCAGCCTCCTGGTACCTGTCGGCCCCAGGCACCTCCTTGTGCACGTGGTAGGACAGGTTCCGCATGATACACACACAGTTCTCCACCGACTGTGGGGAGAGGAGAGATGGTGGAGCAGAGCCCAGTGGGCACGGAGACTGCCACCCCTCCCCGGGACACCTGTCCGCAGCCAGTGCGCACAGAAGGAACTGGGGGTGCAAAGATGAGGAGGCCTAAGCTAGGGAGCCCACGGGGGTGAGAACTCCCAGGGAGGGGCTGAGGAAGGAAAAAGGTGGAGAACACACGGCACGTAGGACCTTGTCTGGGACTTCACTGTGTCCACTACGGGGCGGCCCGTGGCCAGGGCACTGCCCTAGAATGCATATGCCTACTTCTCCTGTGCTGCCCAAATGGTTCAGGGCCCTCTGGGCCCAGTTCCTGCTCCGTGTCCCCGACCCTTTGTAGGAGGTTGTGAGATGCACCCCGCTGGGACCTGCTGGGGCCCCCCCGACCTTGTTGTCCGTGTCCTTCCTGCCCACAGCTGACTGCAGGGCGTGCAGCAGGGCGTCTACCAGCCCTTCACATTCCCGGAGCCGCCGCCGGGCCTCTGCACCATCCGAACTCACGTTCCTGGGGGGCCAAGAGCGAGCCCTGTGAACCCTGGCTCCCACGGGAACTTCCCAGCCCATCCCCCGCCCCCTGGCCTTGGGGTCTTGTCTTCATCTGTAAAACCAGCTCTGACACCACCCTGTTAGGGCTACTGACAGTGTCCCGACCCCTGAGACCCTAGGAGGGAGCCCTGGCCTGGCATCTTGGTGTGGCAGGGGGCCTTCTCTGATGCCCAGCAGAATTGGAAGGGGACAGAAGTGGGTCCAGAGTCCTGAATCCACGCACAGTGATAGTTCTGGGTTCCACCTTACCCTGAGGTGAGGACCCCATAGGGCTATGGGGCTATGTCCTGATGGACAGACAGGACCATGGGGACCCTGGACCACCTGTGGGGACTCTAGTGATTCCCAGGGTGGGAGGGTTAGGGCCGAGGTCACAAGGACATGGAATGAGGCCTCTGAGGCAGACAGAAGATGAGGGTCCCGGCTCCCCCTACCCTGGCTGTTATGGTGATGGAAGAGTGGGTTGAAGCTGAGCAGGGCTGGAGACATGGGGTCCTATGTGAGAGCGTGGCAGACCTTGTCCAGAGGCTGCCCTTGGGGCCGAGTACAGCCCCATCAGGCCCCATTCTCAGGACTCAGGCAGGAACTGTGACATGGCTGTGTCCCAAGCTCCTAAGACTTGGGTGGCTAATGGTCTTCCACGTTATACCAGACATGAGGACATTCCCAGGTGTGCATACAGGCTCTGGTGCCTGGCTCCTGCCTCCTTGGCCGGGAACAGTCCTGAGTGGCTGCACAGAGAGTGCCCGAGCCCAGCCCCCACCCACACCTCAAGCAGCCCGATGTGTTCTTGAAGACTGTTGTCCACTCAGCATCCCTTGGCTTGGAATCCTCGTTGGGCTCGCGCTCCCAGCCCGAGTGGGGCACAATGACCTCGTGGGTCAGCGTCTGCAGGCCGTGGTCAATGATGACCATCTTCAGGGGCTCGTAGGATGACAGGTTCCAGAGTGTGCCTGCAGGGCGCCATCAACCAGCCAGTGCTCACCACACAGGCAGCGACCTTCCGACCTCCCCATGTGACCTCGCTCAGGACATACCCCAATCAGACCCGAAGGCAGGAAGTGACAAAAGCCGTGAGAGAAACAAACAAACAAACAAACAAACAAACAAACAAAAAGCCGTGAGAGGTCCTGGGTGCCCACCTTGGCCCAGGCAAGATGTGCACAGGCACCTCACAGTAGCTACCAGCTGAGAGGGGCTGGGACACAGGAAAGGGCTGGCCGGGGGCCTGTGGCTGGACAAGCAGATGCCTTCTCTTCCCCATCCCTTCTTAGCCACGTTGGGGTGGGGGGTGCGGCACTACTGCCTCACTGGCACCACCTGAAGTGGTCACACGACCCTACCTGGCCAATTGGGGCCCATAAGGCACAATCCCCCAGCACTGGGCCCCACTGGAGGGTGGGACCAGGAGGCTGGACCTGGAGGAGTATGGGGACATGGGGGCAGGTGGAGAGGGGGCCTGCCTGAGAGGCAGCAAAGTCCAGAGGTAGAGAGACTGGGGACCTCTCAGTCTAAGCCTAATGCCTACCCCCAGCAGCTGGACCTCCTGACTAAATGGGCGGGTGGTGGTGGCGGGGTGGGGGGGTGACTTTCCCTGGCCAAGCTTCACTCTCCTCTCCCTGAGGGACGAGGGGAAGCCAGGTGTCACTCACCTGTGACAAGCTCTCGGACCTCATTGTCCCGGGCAGCCCGCAGCAGGCGCACCAGGGCAGGCACACCGCCACAGTCCCGGATGGCAGCCTTGTTGTCCGTGTCTCGGCCGTAGGAGAGGTTTCGCAGAGCCCCGCAGGCCCGCCGCCGCACCTCCGCCCTCGGGTGGTCCAGCAGAGCCACGAGCAGAGGCAGGCCCCGCAGCTGCCGCACACGGCGCTTGACACCCTCATTCTCAAAGCACAGGTGTTGCAGGTAGGCGGCCGCATTGGCTTTCACAGGGTCCACGGGGTGTCGCAGCATGGCCAGAACCTCTGGCAGCTCGGGGTCCCGCCAACGCGGCTCCTTACGGGCGCTGTCAACTGAGGGTGACCGCCGTACCACTCGGTCCAGGCTGCCTAGGCTGCCCCGTTCTGGCTGGGCCAGGGGTGCCGTCGCAGCCGGAAACGGGGGCCGCTCCTCCATCAGCTCACCACCATCATCTGCCACATCCTCGTAGGCCCTGTGCAGGCAGGCAGGGCGCAGGAACATCTCGGCACTGCCCAAAGATGCCTGCTTTGGAGCTACCCCGCCATTATCTTCTCCAGGGGACCACGAACCCTTGAAGGGTGGGGATAGGCCTGCAGCATTGGTACTGGACCCCAAGCACCGAGTGGGTGCTGAGAGTTACACCCCAGGCCAGCAAGAACTGACTCACAGCCAGTGACATGGCCAAACACCAGCCAATGGTTATCATAGCTTGGGTGTCCCTGAGATGGGGAGCTCACTCACTCCCATTACCATGCAGCATTCCCCAATTCTGAGCTAAATGCATTTCTATGAAACATCTGTCTGGGGCTGGGGTCCTGCTTTCCCATGAGGCTCATCTCGGCAATGTGGGATCTGCCAGGATGTGGGGGTAGGAGGTGACCCTCCCTGCACACAGCCATCCTGGTGGGACCATATGAGGAGCATTCAGGCCACCGATCCCCCGGAGTACAAGATGTCCCTGTGGGTTGTCACCATCAAGCCTACTTCCTAGGGCAGGGATTGAGGCTAGGAGGGGTCAGGTGTCTTTCCTGCGGTCACACAGCATAATCCATACCAAGGGTCATGTTCTCACTCTACAGATAGAAAAACTTGAGAGCAAAGGTGACAGAACCAGAGTCTATGCTGGGAAGAGCTGGAGAGCCTAGTTTCTGGTTGCTTCTGTACACAGGGGCACTTGAGGCCTGGGGAAAGGCTGGAGCCTCAAACTCAGAGGAAACGCTCTGAGCCTCTTGTGCTCCTATCTTCATGGCCGGCTGGCTGGAGCAGGGGTAGCAGGTGTTGGGCACTGTCACAAACTTCCCTAATGCCCCAGACCCACAGGGAGGGTGCCCAGTGTGACTTCCACCATCCCAGAAGCTTCCCTTGTTGCTATCCTTGAATTGAGGCCAATTCAAACTAACGTGCACAACTAACTTAGCCCTAGCAGCTAGACTTCCTGTGGGGGAGTGGAAGGCAGACTTCCTGGAGGCAGTGGCCAGGCTCAGGATGCTCACCTGGTACGAAGGCCACGTCCACACTCAGGCCTCCTCCTTGTGGCAGTGCCATAGTCAGGCTCCAGCTCCGGGCCACCCTCGTCATCGGCAGCCAGGCTGCGGGTGTCATCCTCCAAGCCGTATGGCTCTGCCTGGAAGCGCTCGGGCTGGGAGCGACCAGCTGGTGGCACAGCCTCAGGGCCTGCAGGGAAGGCCTCACGTCGGCCAGGCAGTGTGAAGCTGCCATCGACGGGGCCTGGGCCAAGGGGGCCACGTGCGGGCCGCACACCCAGCCCACGGGAGAGACTGCCGTAGCTGGGGACATCACGGGGCTCAGGGCCATCGGTAAAGCTGCCCCCGCTGCTGAGGTAGGCTCGGGAAAGCGTGGCTGCCGGACCACCCCCGCGCAACAGGAAGTGCCGGTCCAGAGGGCCGTCTGTGAAGGGGCCTAGTGGAGGGCCGCCGTCCAGCAGGGGGAGGCCATCTGGGCCTACGGGCACCTGCCGCACTGTCCTCGTGGTCACCGTCTTGACCGTCTTGGTGACCTGGTGGGGAAGTGGGTGGCCGGTGGGCAGGCTGGGCAGCCTAAGAGGCCCGGACACTGGCCCAGTAGGGCCAGGGTGGCCTCGGTCTCCCACCCGACCAACAGGTGGCACCCGGGGGGCCACTCTGTACATGGAACAACCGTGGCTACACAGCCTGCTTGCCCACTGCCGGGGCCTGGCCATACCTTGGTCTCAGTGCGCCGGGTAGTGCCATCTTCTGATGTGACAATGGACACGTGGGAGGTGGGCGTGCCAGGGTCCTCCTCTACTGTCACTGTCTCCTCCAGCACCTCGGGTGCCTCTGGCATTGTGGCCAGTGAGGCCTGGCTGCCCGGGCTCTGCTCCTGGGCAAGGGAGCGGGGGAGAATGGGTGTCAGTGGGAGGACCCATCGCTCGCCTGGCCCTGGAGTGTAGATGCTTGTGCTGGCCCCGAGGCCAGGAGGGCCTTCTGCCCACCCCTGGAGCCCATGGACCCCAGGGCCTGCAAGCCCCAGCTGGTGAAGACAGCAGCCCGCTCCTGCCTCTGAACGCCATGGGGCTGACCGGCCCTATTGCCCTATCCCATGGGGACCTCTGGGGGTTGACCTCCCCCAATCCTGGCGCCTCCTTGGACTGAGCTGGCAGATAAAGCCCCTGACCCCAGTGGTGCAGTCTTGGGCAGCCCCATCTGAGCTGCAAGGCCTGGTTGCTACAGGTTCCTGGTGGCCCAAGGAGATTGGTGGGACCTGCAGGTCGAACTCTGGACATGGGTCACTACCCCTGACTGGGCCCTCCCATGTCCTGGGCCTCCTCCCTGCCCCACCCAAGAAACCTTGAGTGCAGAGGCCTTGGGGGAGCAGTTTCAGCACTGCTCACAGACTCCCCAGGGCCATACCCAGGAACCCCCCCCAACTGTTCCCAAGGCCAGCTAGACGCCCTCGCAGGACAGAAATACTCAGTTCTCAGAATGCCCAAAATACCCTTGCTCCTTCCGGCCTGGACACTCCTAGGGTGGTGAGTGGGCACAGCCTGGCCCTACCTCATTTGGGCCAGTGTTTGGTGCTCCCCAGTGAGATGCTGGGTGTTTTATCAGAGCCCAGCTCCCCTTGCCTTCATCCCTGCAGGGGATAACCATGGTGGAATTCAGGCAAGATAGCTCTGGACAGAGGCCCTTTTAAGGCCCATAAGCCTATGGTCAGACTTGCCAGTGGGGAAACGGAGGCTCAAAGAGGACAGGCCAGTCCAGAGCAGAGCTGAACTGACTGTGCTGACTGGCAAAGGGGTCCGAAAGCCAAAGTCCATTCACCCCTGGGCCTCTGACCACATGGGTCCCCGCACCACACCAATGTCCTAGGATTAGCATCTGGCAGGATGGGTAGGGGCTGAAACCCAAGCCGCAGCGGGCAAGCGAGCAGGAGCACATTCCTGGGCAGCGGGGGCCAGGTCAGCAGGAGGACAGGCCCTGCTCTGTGGCCCAGATGCTGTGCCTTGAGGAATGGGTCCCCTGTTTGGGCCCCAAGCCTCTGAGGCCCTACACAGAAACAGAGCTGAGGCCCAAGGAAGGCCACACCCCTGTCTGCCTGCCCCCAGAGTCCTACTCTGCTCCTGGTCCTGGGCCTGGGAGGTATGCAAGCCTAGGTGCCCAGAGCTGCCCAATGGCCTGCCTCCCGAGGTCCTCAGGGTGTGAAGTCTCCTCAGGTTGGGGTCCTGTCCTGACAAAATGCTTAAAACCCCAATTGCACATAGTGCTAAGATTCTGGGCCCCCGCAAACTCTTCAGGGGTCCAGAGAGAGGCATGCACCGTGTTAGGACAGGTGTATCCCCTGGGCTCTGGTGACACAGGAAGGAAGTCACAGAATGCAGCCTCTGCCCCCAGAAGCAGAGGACAACAATACGTAATTTTATAAAAAAGGAAACTGAGGCCTAACAGAAGGGAGAGGCTTAACCAGGCCTTCACAAACCACTGACAGGGAATTTCAGGCATCCACAGGGAAAATGGTTTTGCACGGCCTTTTAGCGAGACCTCACCCCTTGTGGGCCACAACCTTGGCTGCCACTCAGTTTGGGGTTGTAGGTGGAATGCCTGGTGGGGACCTGGCCAGGAAGGAAGAACGATGTTCCCTGAGAAAGAGGAGTAAACTGAGACCCTGAACGGGGACATGCAGCTGGGCTGCCAGGCACAGCGGCCTGGACCCTTCTCTGAGGGCACTGGGAGCTGGGATGGTTCTGGAGCAGAAGATTCAGGGAGAGCCTGTCACTGCTGGCACCTTGGCGACCCCACCTGTATTTGGCAACTGTGGGAGCAAATGTGTGTCAGGCGCCGAGCTCTCTTGGCTGGGCCCTGGGGGGCCAGGCATGGAGGGGCCTGGGGCCACACCCTGGTGGCTGCAAGTGAGGGGAGGAGCGAGGAGTAAGACTGACAAGAGGGGACCACAGCCTGGCCAGGAGCACATGGCCCCTGAGTCGATCTGCATACATGAACACTCTCAGAGAAGAGCCTCCAACTCCCTGGTGAGGAGGGAGAAGGAGTAAGCATACCTCAGACCTCAATGCTACTCTGACTCGGTTTGTTCTCACTCTAGCCTGTGATGAGGGTCTGACACAGCGCAGTAGAGGGAACAAAGGGATGGGGCTCCAGAAGAGCCAGGAACCCCCCACCCCACAAGGCCTGGCAACCCTGCAGCATCGCCCACTAATGCACAGCCCAGGCAGCCCAGTAGTGGGATCCTGAGGCCCCAAGAGCCCCCACTGGCAAATGACCTCAGAGAGCTAAAAACAGGCGATGACTTCACCCAGGCTGGCGGGCAGGCGGGAGCGAGAGTCAGCCGATGATCACAGGAAGGCCCGGCCCCTGTTACACACGCCTGGGCACACATGCAGATGAGGACCTGGACATGCGTGCATGTACCTGGTGCTTCCAACAGGCACATGTGCACAGACGTGTGTGTGTGTGTGTGTGTGTGTGTGTGTGTGTAAGCACCCAGCTGGCCCCCGGGCCCAAGCGCGTCAATCTGCATGTTGTCCTAACAGCCCCTGGACACAGTGCCCACTGCCCCCAGAGGGACTTGCACATGCTGACACATCCCCGTCACCTCCTCCTGTCTCCCACCCCTGTGTCCAGACTGCCTGGACACCCACTCAACCACCCACTCTGGGGGCTCTCAGAGCTGGCAGCAGAGTAGGGAACCAAAGCCTGATGACCAGCACATAGTTGGCACTCAAGAGAGGCAGCTGACCGGGGTGCCTGCATCCTCATCTGACCTCGAGACCCTGTTCTAGGGCCACATGTCCACCTATCCAGGGCGGCACACAGGACCCCTGGCCCTGCAACTCAGGTCCCCCCGGTAGCCCAGACATGAGCACCAGCCTGGACACACAACCCCCAGCCCTTCACATCCCAAATCTTGCCAAATCCTGTCAACTGTATCTTGTCACCCATCCCCAGCCCTAGCTTCATTCTTGCCCCTCTTCCTGGGACCACTGACCTGCCTCCCATAGCCTACCTCCAGGGCCCAAACTGCCCCCCGGCGCTCCCATCCATGGTCCACCTGGTCCATGGTCTACAGGTCTGGCCCAGAGTGGGGCTGCTGTCCAGACCTGGGATTTCCCAGGAGTTTCCTTGAACTTGTGGAAGGGGCCTGGCCCAAGACTCCAAGCGCCCGGGGCCAGAGTGGCCAGTACTCAGAAAGGTAAACATAACCAGCCACCACTGCTCTCAAGAGGGTCTCCTAGGCCCTGTCACACACCCGGGGCTTGGCTTCCTCATATGGAAACAGAAAGCACCCAGGATATCAAGGCCAAAGGACAAGCGGGATAGTGCCAGTCCCACCCTCATGGCCAGATCTAAGGGACATGGGCAGTAGAATATAAGATGTGAGCCAACATACAGAGGGGCCGCCGCCTGGGCAAAAGCCCACAACCACCTCTGAGGTACGTGTGGGAATGGCAGAGAGAGGGGACGGGGAAACAAGCCAAGTCTTAATGCGGGAGGGGGGCTGGACTGGGGTCGCAGAGGCATGGATCTATGTCACCAACCGCACTTCACAGATGAGCACCCATGGTACGTATCATGAAGAGCAAGCCTCAAGACAGGTGCCCCACCCTGTCCATGGTCCCACCATACATGCAGGTAATAGGTTAAGGTAGGATCCCACACCTGGCTCCCACAATTCCCAATCCTGGCCCGAAGAAGGCACAAGACAGCTAGCACTGAATGAATGGAGGGAGGGAGGAGGGAGGGAGGGAGGGAGGGAGGGAGGGAGGGAGAAGTGAAGGAATGAACGTGTTCCCCTAACCCCTCCACCCCAGCACAGCCATCCCTGATAGAGTCCAAGACAATCCAGGCTGGCATCTCTCTCCACAGAGCAAGCCCTTGGCCACCACAGATGCCCTCTCTTGATGCCCAGAGCCTCTGCCCAGCCCAGGCAGATGGGGTTAGGGTACCCCTCCAGAGCAGAAGCCGCCTGCCAGGGCCTGCAGTCCACACTGAGTGGCCAAGAGGCCAAGGGGCAGTGAGTGCCCACCAGACTGGGGAAGCAAGGTTGCGGGGGATAGCAGGGCTGGCTGTCACCTACCCCGGTTTCTCCAAGCCCAGCCCGCATTTATCAGCTACACAGCAGCCCCAACTCCCCCCAGCTGACCCTTACATCTCTGGGACAGTCAGTGGCCTGACCCTAGGGGCCATACCAGAGACGCACAGCAGAAACCCAGCTGCCAGGGAGAGGCAGGTGTGACCCGGCCCCCAATGACAAGGGACCTGGGGCAGTTGCTCCTCCAGTTGGCCTCAGTTTCCCTGCCTGTTACTGGACCCCAAACCCCGTAAGCAGGAGGTGCTGGCTGCCCACACGCCTCCCTCCCGCTCCCTCCCACCACTGGGAGGCTGACTCCCAGGGTTTTCCCCGGAGACCCCCCCCCTCCTCCCTCCACCCCTCCCCTCACGTGCGCTGCCGTGGCAGACAGGGCTTCCATTAAGGCTCCGGAAGCTCCTCGCAGGTCTCTAGAGTCGGAGCCCGCGCTAAGAGTGTGGAGGGGAGGGGAGGCCCACCGAGCCCCCCAGGGAGCTGGAGGCCTAGCCCGGCTGCCCTCTCCGGACTCCGCATCTGTCCCGCCCAGAGGGGCTGCTCAGGAAGGACCTCACCAACCACCCCCACCCCAGGCACCTGTCCTGGGCGCTGCCCTGGGGTGCACCCACCCTGATCCCGGCCTCGCCTCCCGGCGCCGAGTCGCAACGCCCGGGGCCGGCGGCCGGTCCCCAGAAACCTCGCGGCCCCGCCCCGCGCCTTGCACACCCCCCGGGCGGCGCGCTCACTCCGCCGCCCCGCCCGCCCCGGGGCCGAACGTGCCGGCCCGAAGCGCAGACAATAGCCTTCTCCGGCCGGCGGCTCCGCGGAACAAAAGCGGGTCCTCCCGGGAAGGCCGGCGCCCCGCCCTCCGCCGCCGGGCCCCCGGGACGGTGCCCCCACGCATGAGACCAAGTTCCCTCCAACCTGTCTGAGTTCGGCCGGCATCGGGCCGGGCTCGTGGGGGGGGGGGGGGGGGGGGGCGGGGGACGGCGGCGGCGGCGGCGGCGGCGGCGGCGGCAGCGGCTGCGGTAGCTGAACCGGGCTCGGCTCCGGCGCCTCGGCCGCTCGGGCTCGGGCTCGGCGGACTCGCTCCCCGCGGGGGCGGATCTGGCGGCGGTCACCGCGAGCAGCCAATGGAGCGGGGCCGCGCCCAGACGGGGCGGGGCGGGGGCCGGTGGGGCGGGGCGAGGTCCCGCCCTCCCCACCCGCGCGGGGCGCTGCTCCGCTGCGAGGGCGGGGCCGGAGTCGCCCCTTAACTCCCTGGCGGCCGGCCTGGCCTCCTCGTCCCTCCACTTCCCCTGCGGGGGTGACATTTTCCCGCCGAGTGACTTTGGCCGAGTCCTGCTTCCCGGGCCTCCTTCTGCCTCCCGTAAAAGAACTCACAGGCCCCTCCCCCTGGAGTTAGGGAACTGAGTTCTGGCAGAGCTGGGGCCAGTGCGCCCATCCTCTCTGGCACCTGCTGCTATCCTGACCGCGATGTTTCCCCCCGCTGTAAAATGAGGACTGATCAGACAGTAGTTATGGCGACGTCAGTATGACAAGATCTCTCAGCTGTCCCTGATCTGGCCCCAGGCCCTTGCCCAAACCCCAGCACAGCCCCCCAAGTGCCTCCACAGAGCTCAGTTAGGGGCCTGCCAAGTGGACCTGGCACTGATCCACTTTGTCTTGGGTTCTCCCCATCAAGACACAGAGGCCCAGGGTTTCCCTTACCCTCTTAGGGGTGTCAGAGCAGATCAAATGGTGTGTGCGGGGGTGCTCAGCAGTTGGGTGACCCTGGGTGAAAGCTCCTGAGGCCGGGTGCCTGGGTGGCTCACTTGGTCAAGCGACTGCCTTCGGCTCAGGTCGTGATCCTGAAGTCCCGGGATCAAGTCCCACATCGGGCTCCCTGCTTAGCGAGGGGGTCTGCTTCTTCCTCTGACCCTCTTCCCTCTCATGCTCTCTCTCATTCTCTCTCTCAAATAAATAAATAAAATCTTTAAAAAAAGAAAGAAAGCAAGCTCCTGAGGCCAAGAGGGCCTCAGACCCTCTCTCCTCCATGCTTTTGATCCACTGGGAAGTGGTTGGGGGGGGGTGGGGGGAGTGGTATCACAGTGCCTGGTTAATCAGGACTTCTCCAAACCAGGCATGACATGAAGGTGCAGCCACACCCTGGAGAGTCTGGCTGTGCTGGATGGAAACGCAGTCCCAGAAGGGCTGGGCTGGGCTGGGGCCCTCATGGGTCATACCCCACAAAGGCAAGCCAATGGCTCATGTATCCCGAATAAGGAAACTAGGCTTTGAGATGAACAAGGGCAAGGGCTGGTGCGAGGAGGTTCCATGGGTCTGGCAAGAGAGAAGGGCAAGGCCTGCGCTTCCTGCGCCCCTCCTGCTTTGCCCCAGACCCCGCACAGGAAATCCAGCCATCCCCAGAGGCTACCCTTTTTCCTGGACATGCCATGTACATAGGCCATGCAGCCAGCATGCTCAAGCACTCTGGGTGTCCACTCCATGTCCCTCTGAGCCTCTGTTTCCCCACCTGCACAGGGGTGAGTTGCCCTGACCACTGACCCCCTGTACCTTCCACCCAAGGCAGCCCCACAGGGAGCCACCTGGAATAGAAGCAGCAGTAGGACTGGACCACTGCCCTGAAGGAACTTACATTTCAGCTGCTTCTGCCTTCTCCCAAATTTCACTAGCTGCTAGTACCCCAGCCACATACCCACCTTGGCCTAACCCGGGGTTGGCCAGGTCCCTAAAAGCGTCCCCCCGACCACACGCACACACACACACCCACTGCTTGAGGGCTGGCCCTGCTCCATCCAGGTGTCTTCAGCGGGGAGCTCTTCCTGCTGGAGGATTAAAGGCAGGTGGCCAGGACAGTGGTGCAGCCTGGGGAGCACAGCAGTAGCCCCTGGCCTCTCAACTCCTTAGCCCCAGCAACCTGCCTTGCCACAGGCCCTGAGCTTCACAGACCCCAGCTCTGACCTTGAGGACCAGCTCCAGGCAGCCCTGGGGCTCAGCAGGTAGGTCACTAGGCATCTCCTGCTGAGACAAATCTGGGAAGCAGTTTTGGCATCAGGGCTGCCAGGCCTGGCCAGCGGATGTGGCCCGCCTCCCCCAATGTCCCAATAGCCCTGCCAGTCCAGCCACAGCCCTGAGAACACATGCTCTCTCCGATCTCACCCTAAGAAAACCATCTCCTCCAAGAGACAGAAAATCAAGGGCAGGCCAGGAGGACAGTGGGCGGAGAGTGGTCATAGCCTGAGGTCTTTAGTCCACAGCCCCCAGGAGGCCAGGGCAGCTCCAGGCTATGGGAACATCTTTCTGTGGGGGCATTGACCCTCAGCAGTGCCCTCTGGGCTGGAGGCTAAAGCCCTTTCCAGCCTGGGAGGGCTAGAAAGAGGGCCTGGCGCCTGAAGGATGGCCTTGAGGTCACTGACTGCCACTGTCCCCATGTGGCCCAGCTGGGCTGTTCCACTCCCCACATCTGGGGGTGCAGGCCTCACCCTCTGGGGTGCCTGAGATCCAAGGGGTGGTGGGCTTGGTTCTGGCACCTAGACCCACCCTGCCTCAGTCCTGGCCTCCTGTGGACTGGCTCCTTGGCCCACCTCAGCACCAAAGGCTTGGAAAGACAGCTTCCCAATGGTGGGGGCTGCTGGTGGGTCTGGACCCTCTGAAGACTATACACCATGCTGGGTTGTGCGTGTGGATTGCCCACTGGCAGATGAGACCACCAAGGCTCTGGGGGTAAAGGTCACTCGCCAAGTCCCCCGACCTGACATGGACTGCTGCTTCTGGGCCCCACATGCCCTGGCTAGGCAAAGCTAGCCCAACTGGGTCAGTCTCACCCTGCTCCCTCTCTCTCCAGCCACAGAAGTGCAGGTGGCCCCAAGCTGCCAACAGCCTGTCTGGTTCCCTGGAGTGGGGGCCCAGTGACAAGAGCATGTGCTGGGAGACATACTGGGAAGAGGTCTGGCTGCCAGGTTGAGGAGGGCAATGGTGAGGGAGCTGAACCAGAGAAACAGAACACCACTGGGAGGGCCCTCTAGGGTCACTCTGTGAGGAACCCTGGGGACTCAGTAGGCCGCGGCCCCCTAGGCCTCTGGGTCTGGTAGTAAGGAGGGGCAACAGTGAGAAGTCTGTAGGGTGGACTCCCACCCAGGGCCCTCCTTCTCCTGGCTCCTGGGACAGCTCTGCCCTGCCTATCCCTTGCCTTGTGCCTCAGTCAGTACTGTGATCTGAAAAATCACACCAAACTCCAGGCCTCCCACGTTTTCTTGTTCTGCCCCTACCATCCCATAAGCCAAGTGCTCCTGTGCCCCATCCACAGGTAAGGCACTGGGGTACAGTGGCTGGAGGGAGGGGTCCAGGCCATTTACTCCGGGCTTTAGAGTGCTTAGGGCCTGGCCAGAGGAGACAGGGCTTCATGCCTCTTGGGGCTAAGCAGGGGCCTGAGCCCAGTGTAAGGGCATTGGCTTAGTGGAGAAATGGAGGCTCCAGGTCACCCTCTGAGACATAGGCAGAGCCCGGGGCCTTGCTCAAGCCTTCCTCTAGAGCTAACTCACTGATGCATTCGACGAAGGAGGAAACCACAGCAAGGAGACTCCAGGGCTGGCAAAACCCTCAGTGTCACCAGGGTGACTGCAGAGCTGCCCAGAATAGACCTTGCCCAGCTACCTGGGCTCTGAGGACTCACTTGAGTGGAGGGTGCCATTCTGAGGGATGGGCTGTGTCCTGCCCATTCATCACATGGTGTCCTGCACACCCAAGTGAAACTTCTAATCCCCTTGGGATCCCACTCTCCTCCCCTCCTCAGAGGCCTCAAGATATCTTGCAATAAATCATTCAATACTGGCTTGTGGTCCACCAAGGCTCCTTGATTGTTTTCCTCCTTGGCCATTTTCACCCTTCTGGAGTCACTGGGGTGTTACCTGCAGGACCAGCTGTTGCCAGGCCATTGGCAGGGGCTGCCCACTGCCCACACCACCACTGCCCATGCCAGGCTGCTGGGCACGCTCCAGCTGCAGGGCAACATGGCGCCGCTCCTGCTCCAGGGCTCGCGTCAGTTGCTCAAAGCGGGCCTCCTGCTCTTTCACCGAGGCCAGGATGCTGGCAGCCGAGTGCACGTTGCAGTCCTCCATGACCAGGATGCCAGCAGGCTGCAGGCAAAGCAGAGCAAGGTCAGGGTGGGGCCAGGACAGAGGCCTGGAGAGGCCATCATAGGCCCCATGCCCACCCCACTCACAAATCATACGACTCACTCCCAGACCAGAGCATCCAGCTCTCCAGAGAGAAGCCGCATTGATTAAATTCTAAATTAAAAGCCATTAATCCGAGGCTGGCCGGAAGCAGCCGGCTCCCTCCCTGTGGAGTGTGGGGGTGCTGAGCTGGGAGCCCCTGCTTCCTGCCAGGTCCAGCAGAACCACTGACTGGGCATCCTGGAGCCCTCTGGGAAGGGAAGGGTAGGAAGAGCTGGCGTGACCACCTCTCAGGCCTCCCAGGCCCTCTGCTGCCCACAGCGCGTGCCAGCTCATCCCACCCTCATGGGGCCAGCACAGGCCCAACTCTCAGAGGCAGTGCTCCAGCCCAGAGAAGGCAGGGAACCCAGCCATAGCCACACAGCTGGTGCACCAGTGGGCAGGGAGAGAGAAGCCGCTCCTCCGCCAGGTGGGCGGGACACCTAGGCAGGTGAGGGGATGACACCGGCCTACAGACCAGCAGTTAGACCTCCACTCACAGACACACTGGCTGGGAACAAGGGTGCTATCTACCCATGTGACAGAGTAAAAATTGAGTACAGCCTGGTTGGGATTCTGCACTCAGAAGTGGTCCATGCGCCTCACGCCGGATCTGGAGGGAAGGTGGAGGGCAGGGTCCCAGGCGTCTGAGGCCCAGTCTGTGGGGAGGGTCAGGCCTGCCTGGGCGCCTGCCCAGTGCTGCCCCTGAGGGCCCCAGGGTGGTGGGTAGGGGAGGCAGGGACTCAGCAGCTGCAACCACAAACCAGCACTCTTCTTGCTGCTTGCTCCCTGGCTGCCCAGCATATTTGTTCTTCATGAGCAAAAAGAAGCAGGGGAAGTATGTGGAGCCCAGACCTGCACATATCAGCAGGCCAGCAGGCAGGGTGCAGGCCATGTGCTCAGGGCCTCCTCCTGGTGCAGCCCGTACCAGCCGGCTGAGGCAGACTCTGCTGGCCCTTGAGCCCCTGCACAGCACAGGGCTTGAGCTTAGAGACACAGAGCAGTGGGCAGCACCCTTGGAGGGCCAGCTGCAAGAACTGAACCCTGGAAAGGAGGGGCCGGTGCTGGGCCTGGCCACCAGTACCAGCTGAGCCAGAGACAGGGTTGGGGGGCATGTGTGTACATAGAGTTGAAGACACCATGGAGCCCAGCCCACTGTGAAGCTGGGGAAACCAAGGCCCAGTGAAGCAAGAGGCCAGCATAGGTCCCACAAGCTAAGCTTCATCTTCCCAGCACCTGTCACACAAATAAAACTGGCAGTGTGACCCAGCAGAGGGGCAGCGAAGTCAGCATGTTGGGCTGGGAGAGGTGGTGGCCATCATAGGGGGAGGGGAGGAGCTTGGGGGGAGGAAGAAAGTGAGGTACAGACTGGGTTCTTTGGCCAGCAGGGAGTAAGGGACGAAGAGCATGGCATGTCCACAGCTGTGGGCACACAGCCTCCGGGGCACACCCACTGCTACCTGGGTACCGGCCACAGACGCACGCAGCTCCACACTTGGTGCCACCTAGACAGTAGAGTAGGCCTTGTGCATGGATGGACTGACGCTGGTGGCCCCAGGCAGGCATGGTGGGGTCTTCCTCCCCGGAGGGCAGGGGGTGGAGCCAGGTCACTCAAGCCCTTGGTCGAAGTACGGGTCTCAAGGCCCTGGGAGGTGGTGAGCAGGATATCTGTGGGCCTCATACCTAGCAGGTGACTTTCCTCCTTCCTTGTGCCAGGACCGGGGTTCCTGACTGACCTCAGGCTCCCTTTCAGACCAGGCTGGGGCTGCAGACCCTGGGGACAGCTCCAGCCTCCAGCTTCCCTGCCCTGGGTCCTCCAGCATGTTCCAACTCTGGGCTCCAAGGAACCCCCCCTCCGTAGAGGGGGCCCACTTGTTCTGGCTGGGGGCCAGCCAGGGGCCCAGAAATCTAAGGCAGTGAGAAGGTAGCCAAACCCCACAATGACCTTCCCATTGCCCTCTCAGCTGGAGCTAAATGACTGTGTGCCTGCCAGGAGACACCCCCAAATGCCAGCCAGCTTGGAGGAAGAGTACCGTGTAACCGTCCACAAAGAGCAGAGACTCTGGGTCTGGGGCCCATGCTCTCTGCCCCAAACCGATGGTGCACCCCTCTATCTGTATGTGGGTGGGGATGCTGGGCCTGTAGTCCACAGCCTCCTCACCTTGGTGGCCTTGAGGGCAGCCCTGGGGTATGCAAGAGGCAGGCTGCTGGCTGGGGGCATCTAGGAAGCAGAGAAGTCCTAAGCCTATTCCCCTGACATGGTGGCCTTCCTGGGTCCGAGGTGTACGGCCTGCGCACAGGAGCACGTGTGGGTACAGGTGAGCCGGGCCAGCACTCCAGAGGGCGGCTTTTCTGATAACTCAAAATGCTATTTTTATATTAAAACAATAAATATGTGATGACGTGGAAAGCAAATTGTACATGAATTTTTTAAAAATTTTATTTATTTATTTGAGAGAGAGAGCACGAGCAGGGGGAGGGGCAGAGGGAGAGGGAGAAGCAGGCTCCCGCACAGACTCGGGGCTCAATCCCAGGATTCTGGGATCACGACCTGAGCCAAACGCAGACGCTTAATGGACTGAGCCACCCAGGTGCCCCTGTACATGAATTTTTAAGATTGACCATGAGAGTGTAAAGACATCATCCCCAGAGGGGAATCAGGGAGGGTCCCTATCCTGGGGAGAGCCCAAGGCCAGCAGGGAAGTGCCATGCTTGCAGGGGTCTCAGCTGACCCTTACTCTCCTTTCTAGCCAGTGTCATCACAGTTTCCACTCACCTGGCAAGGGCCCCACACTGCCCATCAGCCAGAGCCCTCACAACCCTCAGCCAGACCCCAGCTGCTGGCTTTGCAGTCCCTGGTGCAGGCTGCTCACCATGCCCAACCGCCCAGGAATGAACATGGAATGCAGAGGCAGCCTCACCAGCCCCAGGTAGGAATGAAGGCAGTGAACCTGGGGTAAACCTGTCTTTGCCTGGACATCCCACGAGTGATCCCAGGTGGACAGATTGCTGAATGGATGAAGGGATGGAAGGAGAGACGACTGGATGGATGGGGAAATGGAAGAACGAGTTAATGGACATGTGGATAGGAGGGTGAGTAGGTGGTTGTGCGAGAGGACGGTGGTGGACAGAGAGGTGGGTGGAGAGTCAGATGGGCAGGTGAATG